TCTCACCGAAACAACAGAGACAACAGTTCCAGCAGAAGACCTCAGTAAACCTTTTGAACCGGTAGTACAGATATTACCAACAGAAGATACTTCACGCCTGGTACCTGGTTACTTTACCAGCAGTGATGTTTATCATGCATACAAACAACCAACTGGAGCAGTGATTGAACAAGAACCAGATTCTTCCAATGTCATCGACAAAGCCACAGCTATCGTCTCTACGCTTATTTCCAGTATCACTAGCGCTTCACCAACATCGAAATCTCCTGACGAACAGCTTTTAACTAGTGAATCACCCATCATCGCTGAATCAACTTCACCTGGATCTGTCAAAGAAAAAGAAATTACACTTCCAAGACCATCTTCAGATGAACAACATGTCGAGCATGAGCAATCATTATCAACTAGTCTCTTAGAAATGATGACGAATTTGTTACCATCATCGCTTCAATCAAAACAAATACAAGAGATCAGTTCTGAAACACCACTGGCACCAACTAAAGATGAAGAAAAAACTGTTTCATCTGCTGTGATGAGCACGCCAGATACTAAACCACATGTCGAGATGCCAAAAGTACAAGATATTCCTAGTTCTGTAGCAGGTTATTTCAGTAGTAGTGATGTTTATCATGCATATAAACAACCGGTGGAACCAATGATTGAAGAAAAAGCACTGGAATCGTCCAGTATTGTGGAGAAAGCAACATCAATCGTCAGTGATATTATTATTAGTCTCACGAGTGCTTCACCAACATTGTCATCCCCAGACGCAACAACTCCAACTAGTGAATCACCTATCGTCGACAAATCAGTTTCATATGCTCCTGTTACCAAAGAAGAAGTCACTATTTCAAAACCATCACTCGTTGAACAAGGTATCGAGCAAGAACAAACAACGACATCTAATATATTAGACAAACTAAAAACTGTATTACCATCGAGTTTCACATCAACAAAAATAGAACATATTACTTCTGATGAATCAGTTCCTGCTATGAAAGGAGATCAAGCAGCTGTTCCATCTTCTCTCAAAGAAACAAGCGTCACAACAGTTTCTAAAGAAGGCCTAACTGAACGTACTGAACCACAAGTCGACATTCAAGGAGAAAAAGTAATTTTAAGTCCAGTAGCTGGTTACTTCAGTAGTAGTGATGTTTATCATGCATATAAACAACCAATAGAACCCATAATTGAACACAAAACAGATTCATCTAGCGTTATTGATAAAGCTACAACTATTGTCACCGATATTATCTCCAGTCTCACCAGTGTTTTACCAACAACAGAAACAACTGAAGACTCAACTTCCACTATTAAATCGACGATCGTGCATGATCAAGTTTCAACTCCAGTTGTATCAGAATTAGAAATTAGTGTTGTAAAACCATCTTTAGATGAAGAGCACATTGAACATGAACAAACAACGGCAACCGGTGTATTAGATAAACTGAAGACTTTCTTACCATCTGGTCTCATATCACCAAAAACAGAACATATCATTTCTGAAAAGCCAGTTTCAGATATGAAAGAACACCAAGTACCTATCACATCGTCTTTTACAGACACATCAGTGACAACTGTTTCTGGAGAACATCTAACAAAACCTACCGAATCGATCGTTGAAACCCCTGAAGCCGTAGTGATTTCAAGTCCAGTAGCTGGTTACTTCAGTAGTAGTGATGTGTATCATGCATACAAACAACCAATAGAACCCATAATTGAACACAAAACAGATTCATCTAGTGTCATTGACAAAGCTACAACCCTCGTCACGAACATTGTCTCCAGTCTCACCGGTACTTCACCAACATTGGAACCGACTGAAGCTACTTTAAGCAGCCAAGTACCAATCGTTGATGAAAAAATTCCATCTGCATCTGTCACAGAAAAAGAAGCTCCAATTCTAAAGCCATCTTCAGATGAACAACATATCATGCGTGAGCAGAAATCATCAACTGGTCTGTTAGAAATAATGACGAGCTTGCTACCATCACCGTTCCGATCAACAAAAATACAAGAAGTTTCTTCCGAAACACCAAGTAAAGCTAGTAAAGATAAAGAAGACACTGTCGTATCCTCTATGACAGGTACAGCAGAGACTACAACAGCTAAAGAATATCTAACAGAAGTCGCTAAACCAAAAGTTGAGATACCAAAAACTGAAGAAATCCAAGAAGAAAAATCAACTACGGGTTTGATTGAAATTGTGACGAGTGTTCACGCAACGAATATTCTACCTGCTACATCCACTTCAGTTAATATTGAAGAAGATATTGAAACTGGTGATGATAAAGAACCTATGTCACTATCCATAAGTGAGGCAAAGACTACATCAGAAATTTCTCAGAAGTCTGTGACGGAAAGTAGTCTACCAGTGGTGGAAATTCAACAACAAAAAGATGTTAGCAGTCACAGTCTAAGTGACACAACAGAGTCGGATATTTCTCCTGCAGAAAAACCAACTATTGAACAAGTTATTACAGAAAAAGATTCGACAAGTGGCACTGACGAAGGTATATCCTCAATAACAGGCACACACTCTGGAGTTTCGTATATTTTACCAACATCGGTTTCTTTAATCAATACACATCGACAAGGCTCACTATCTGAAGATGATCAAACAGAAATGTCTGAATCAAGTGTACGTGAATATAACCTTTTTTTCAACGAGACTATTTCATTTTTTCTATTATAGTTACAAACACCATCAACTGATGAACCAAAACATCATGGTGTATTTGATCTTATTGTACGACCTGCAGCAAGTTTGGATGAAACAGCATCAAGTCTACTGTCTCTCGATGAAAAATCGACCACTCTTGAAATTTCATTCATTTTACCAGAAAACTCCATTGATAATCAATTGGAAAGTTTAAATGTTAATGAAGCAAAAGAAACTTTAATTGAAACTGCTAAAGAAATTCTTGCAGCTCCTTTACAATCTGCGGTTGATACGTATGAAAAAATAATTTCAACACAAGAACAATTATCATCACCAACCGTTAGCCCAACTAAAGTCGTTACTACTGATTATCCTTCGTTGGCAAAACAAGATACAGTTACTGATTCTGTAATCGAACGTCTTTCGACTACCGACCAACGATCAATTGATGAGTTGGATAAACATAAATCTATTCCAAGTATTACAGAAGAAACAAAAATACAAGATCAAATTGAAAAGAAACCATCTCAACAACTTCAAGTTATTGGTGATGACTATCCATGGTATTCAAGTCATTATATTCTTGTTGATGCAGATGAAAAGATGGGTCAATTATACGACAATTTATCTTATACTCTAAAACAACTGGAACAACGACCTCTACCAACAACAATCGAGTTTTCTCCTGAACCACATGAAAAAGTTCCAATACCAGATTATGATCGTCAAGTATTAGATGAAACAAAAGATACACGAGAAAAAGTACATGAATTAGCTGAAATAAGTACAATAATTACAACAACCATGACTGCATCACAAGATGAACAAATCAAAGATGAAAATGAACTTCAAGTTGTACATCATCGTAAACATGTATCACCAACAACAGTTCACGAAAGAACACCATCGCCTAAAATGGTTACGACTAAAGCAATTATTAGTCCAGATATCGATCTCGTACCAGCAGTTCTTCAGGGTCGTCCAGTTTCACCAATCAGTACTTCAGAAAGTGTCTCACAAACTACTACTACTACTGCTTCAAGTAGTACTAGCAGCAAGAAAAAACCTAAAAAACAAAAGAAAGATAGAAAAGAAATAGTTTTAGTCGATGCTTCTATACCAACAATATCTGATACCGACAAAGGTAAAACAGATGTTGTACAATCAGAAATGGTATCAAAACATATGGAAACAACTAAATCTGAACTATTACCATCGATTACTACAGATGATTCTCATGAAATTGATCAACCGTCAAAAGAAATTAAACATGAACTCGGTGAACCATCAGAAGCAATAAAACATGAAATTGAACAATTAATTCAAACAATTGATGAATTCAAACAAAATTTAATCGATACAACAAATGAAGAACAACACGGTGAACTTTTATCAACATCCATCGTCTCTGATAATGTAGAACCAGAACAAATAGATGATGATAATAATGATTCAACATCTTCGGACGCTTCACAATGGTTATCATCTTCATTTACAACTTTTCCTGAAGATAACAAACTTGATACTCAACCTTCTATTACTGAACACGCTATTGTAACACAAACATCGACGACGATTTCTTCAGCTGATCATGAATTGACAAAATCAGAACCATTACCAACTGCATCACCAACTAAAAAGAAGAAGAGTAAACAACAATCGATCAATCAAGAAAAAATTCAATCGTCTGAAATTCAAACATCACAATTAACTATTGAACAACCACAAGTCGAATCTAAACCAACTCCAACAACAACAACACCGCCACCACTCGTAAAAACGATAACAACGACTATCACTGCTAAAATTTCTAGTTCACCAGAAGAAGAAGATATAGATGACAATGAAGGTTTTCAAGTTGTACGTCATCGTAAACATGCACCATCGACAACAGGACAGGAAAAAACTCTACCATCATCAACAACAATTACGTCTAAACAACGATCTAGTTCTGATATTGATTCTAAACATGCAAATGCTCAACGACGTCAAGTTTCTTCGATACCTGTTGCTACGTCTAAAATTACTACAGGTCCACAAACTACCACAACTAAACCAAAACATAGAACACATAAAAAGGAAACAACATTATTTGATGCACCAGCATCTTCAACATCCACTGATACTGATGCCATTTCGTCATCTAGTATTGATAACAGCAAACATAAACAAATTGAACAACAACAACAACCAATAGAACAACATAAAACTATTAGTAGCAGTACATCACAATCAAAACCTTTATCATCAGTAGTATTAACATCTAACATCAGTCCATCATTACCAATAGAAGTAGAAAGTAAACAACAACCAAAAGAAGAAGAAAAAACTTTACAAACTCAAACTCCATCATCAACAATATCTACTGTTCAGGAAACAAAAGTAAAATTAGAACCGACAAAATCTTTACCAACAATGACAACACTTCGTCTAAAACCATCGACTTCACCCGACGAAGAAGAAGGAGAAGATGATGAAGATAATGAAGGTTTTCGAGTAGTTCACTATCGAAAACGTATATCATCAGCACCAAGATTAGATAAAACATTACCACCATTACCACCACAAACACATAAACAAAATCTTGGTCGTAGTTTTGATCTTAAACCTGTTATTATTCATGGACGTCAGGGATCAGGATCACGTTCTATGCCACGTACAACTACTGGTAGTCAAATATCTTCTCATAAACCCCAACAAACTAAATCTAAACAAGATCGACAACAAATGCCACCATTAAATATACCACGTTCGCCAACTTCTAAAGAAACACATATTATGTCATCCTTTAATATCGAACAGAAACCAATAGAACAAGTAAAACAACCAGTTAGTGATCAAGTTCGACGAACAAGTGATACTACTACAATTCAATCAACGTTTATTGAGCAAAAACTATCGAAAGAAATTGAACAAGTACAATCAACAATTATTGATGAAAAACCACAATTAGCATATTTTGAACAACCAACTATTGTTCCTGTTGTAGACTTGAAACCAGTAGAACAAAATGAAACTGAAACAAATCTTGAACCAGTACATGCCACCGTTTCACCTGTCGTTGACCAATCTATTCAACAAATTGTTCATGAATATATTGAACCAACTAAAGATGAGATTAAACAGATCGTTCAACAACAACAACGGCCTTCAATAAAAGAACAAATTCCAACAGCAGTGACTACTACTACTATCACTACAATTGAAACTCAAAAATCTACAATTACTGAAGATGATGATGATGATGGATTTCGTGTAGTACGTTATCGTAAACATGCACAGCCTCCAACAATCATTTCCAAACAACACAGTTATGGTTCTGATACTGAGAAAAAATCTGCTACTATTTTGAAAAAACAAATTTCATCATCATCATCAATACCAACTACACCTACATCCACTGTTTTACATACGACGACACCGAAGAAAAAAACACCAAAAAAAACGAAAGAGACAACTGTTAAAACTGATATTACTTCACCTGTTGATATTCTTTCCTCATCCACTACTGATACTGATCTTATTTCATCATCGAAAGAAGAGTCTGCTAAACGAACAACAACTACTAAACATGTACAAAAAGTTATCGAATCTCAAATTACAACAAAAGATGTTTCTTCTGTTCATCCAGACAAAGAAATAACAATTCCTACAGAAGATCATAAATCAATTTCATCAGTAAACCTTCCTGAAACTGTACAAAAAACATCCGATGATACACAAAATCAAATACAATCAATTGAATCAGCAACATCACCATCAGTAACAAGTGCTGATACAAGTGAAGAATTATTAAAAAAACCTAAGAAAAAACATAAACGATCAAAACGAGAATCTATTGGAGTAGATATATCGACACCATCCGATGAAATATCCAGTACAATTGATGATCTTTCAACAAAAAAACTAATGACATCTTCTAGTCCATCTCAATCATTTAGTCTTGATATTCCACTAACATCAACTCCAATTGAAGATAAATCCGATAAAGTTTTATTAAAAGAAGAAGTTCCTTCACAACAAACAGTTGAACCAATAACACCAATAGATGATGAACAGATTAAGACAACAACAACTAAAAAACATACAAAAAGACGGAAGAAAAAACCACATACTCATGAAAAACAAGATCAAGATGAAGATTTATTAAATTCTTCAACAACAAGCACAACAGATAAAGATAGTAGTAGTGCAGCTGGAGTAATAACAACACCAATGAAATCAACTTCTCGTGAATCTAGTACTAAAATTCGTTTAATAACTGATGATGATAAACAAGAATCAGAATGGATAACACCACATAATAAAAAGAAAAAATCAAAATTAATTGAATCAACAATAACAAAAACAGAATCACATGAACAAAAAGTATCACTCTCTCCTCAATCAACTTTACATTCAACCACAACAACGACAACAACAAAAATTCTGCCAGAGAAAGTAACTGATGTACAATTTAAATTTAAGAAAGGTGGTGAATTAACAGTAACAAGTCAATTACCATTAGAACGTTCACCAACTGAGTGGGGTACAGTCAAATTTATATCCGAAGAATCATCAAATCTGATACAACAAGATAAACATGATTCATCGATTGAACAAACTCCATTAGAAGAATTACCTATTGAAAAAGAATCTAAAATTGAACAAACAATCGATTCAACTGGCCAAATTGATAATGAAACTAAAGATGAAACAACAACAAAATCAATGGAAAGTAGTGAAACTGGTGGTGAAGCTGATTTAGATGCATATCGTGATCAAACAGGTCGTCTTCGTCCGAAAAAACCACGTAAACCTGCAAGTACATCAAGTAAACCTGATGATATACCTCCAACTCTTGAACCACAAACATCGGAAGAAATTAAACTTGATCATAAAACTATAAGTGAACATTGGGCTGCTGCTATAGAAAGTCCGGTATCGAATATAGATGAAGAACAAAAAATTCAAACAGAACAAATTTATGAAGAACAATCATTTGAAGATGATGATACTAGTGAAAGAAATAGTAAATTAGATTCATTTTTACCTGAATATATTCGTCAAACGATAAAAACAAAATCACTACGTTCATCATCATTAAATGATGATCGTTCAAAATTATCATCAACTCATGATACATCAACATCTATTACACATACGCGTTCAACGAGTATCGTTTTTCCATCATCATCAAATCGATCAACAACAAGTACTGATGATACATCAGAAAATGAAAGTCGAAAACATTTACGAGAATCTGTTGATGAAGAATTTCACTCAACAGAAGATTCAAGTTTTATTTCAACAACAAATCAAACAGAACATGATACAATGGGAACATCATCTTCATTACCTCCAACTGGTAGTACACGTAAGAAAAAACAACGACCAAAAATGTTAAAAAAAGATATCGAAGCTAAAACCTTATTAACACATGAATTTGATGATACACCATTAACAATAACTGAAATTCAACCATCATCATCATCATCAATAATAGAAACAACAAATAAAAGTGATGAATCATTTTTATCATCTATACGTCATCAATTTTCTTCGGCTATGTCAACAATAACTGATTCATTTAGTTCTGCACTTTCTCTTCATAAATCAACAACAACAGATGATCAAACAATTGTTCAATCTGATGAGCCAGTGCCATCAACAGAAGAACAATCAATTATTCCTATTACAACATCTACAGAATCAACAATAATAACAACAAAGAAAAAACCTTCGACACGTTCACCACGTAAACGTTCAAAACGAGATAGTGGTCCTGACTATGAATATTTAACAAGTCCAACATCTGATGATATTGAACAATCATTTTCTGGTATTAAAGTTGTTACAACAATTCCAACATCAATTGATAATGATCAAACAGATTTTATTAAAGTAGAAAATCATAAACAACAACCAAAACAACGAACATTATCGGGTAGACATTCATCAAACACTGAAGAAAATAATGAACAACAAGCTACATTAGCTGATGATGAAGAAGATGAAGATTTTGCAACAAAACCTGTTGTATTACATGGAACTGGTATTGATACAAATATTCAAACACCAATTGAATCAATTGTTGCAGAACAAGATTCATCTGCAACAACCACAACAACAAAAAAAAGACGTCATAAACAAAAGAGTAAAACTGAAGAAGTTGAGTTTACTGCACAAGCACCAGATGAATTAAAACCTGATAAACAAGATACTGTATCTGACCAGCAAACAACATCAATGACAATAACAACAAACGAACAGTTACGATCAGTTCAAGGTTTTCATTCTTATACACCAAATAAATATCAATATAATCAATATGAAGAAGGATCAACTAGTTCCGCTGAACAAACACCACTATCACCACTATCACCACCACCACCGCAACCACCACCACCACCACCACCACCAACAACAACAACAACAGCAACCACAGACAATAATGATAACATTCTTGCACGTGGTTTTAATCTTTGGTTACAACAAAGTAAAGAAATAGAATCGACATCATCATCAGCAAAAAAAGATGAATCATCAGCAATAGGTAGTGGTTTAACACGTGCTATGCAAAGTCTTATTATTCAACCAGTCGAAACTGATAATGATGAAGATGAAGAAGACTCATGGAATGGACCACGAGCTAAAAAACCAACATATACATCAGGTGTTCAAATTGAGAAACGTATTCATACAACAAGTGGATATAATATAAATCATCCACGTTCAATAACTGTTTCACCATGGCTAATGCCACAATCGAATGAAAATTCATATCAAGATGATCAATCAAAATATGATCCGGATGATGAAGAAGATTCAATGAATGATGTATCAGAAAAACAACAATTATCTCATCCAATTAGTACACAATTATCAACCAAAGAAGAACGACAAAAGCATTTAAATAATTTAGCTGATTTAACATTTCAAGCAACATTAGGTAATTTATCATCATCTTCATCATCATTATCATCAGCAGCAGCAGCTAAATGGAATGAAACATCTATACGTAGTGATGATAATAGTCAACAACAAGCAAGTTTTACTGATGATGATGTACAACGTTGTTTAGGAGAAGATTTTTATCGTGAATCATTAGCTGCAGAAACACTTAAAGCCGAACAACGAACTATTACAAGTTTAGATGGTCTTGTTTTAAAACCATCTCTATTATCAGAAGAAACAGACAATGATGATAATGATAATGATAATGATAATGATAATGAAAATGATGATGACGATGATGACAGTCAAAGAAATAGAAATAATAATAATAATAATAATAATAATATTAGTCACTCAATGAATTTCGATGAATGGGCACATTTTCTTGAATATGAATATGATCAGCAATTGTTTCCATCATCTGGACCATCTTCATCGACTATTGAACAAAATTTATTAGCATCATATGAATGTTCATATGCACGGGAATTAGATGACGATACTCTTATATCGGATGCAGATCGATTACATGTCATAGATGATATACAACATACCAATGACAATGAAAGACAACGTTATGGAGATTTTACATTATTAGATGATGATTCTACTATACTTGAGTCAATGATTAATTGTCCTTTATTATCATCAAATCCCAATTCACAATCATCACATAGACATAAACCTTCCGAAACTTTTCAAAGATGGAGAAATCAATCAAATCGTGAACGAGAAGAATCGAATTTAAACTTATCAAATGTAACAATTTTAACTGCAAATCAAAATGACGATGAAATATTTATATATCATACAGACGGTGGTCTTAGTCGACGAGTGAGACCCACAACATAAAATATTTACTGATTTCCTTTACTTTTCTTTTTTTTTTTACCTTCTCACCTCATAAATTCTTTGCCTTTGTCTTTTTTTCTTGCGTTATCTGTTTTTTTTTTCTTTATTCTTTACTCACTCTTTCTTCTCTTTTCTTTCTCATATCGCTCTTTAATCTAGTCGATCAACAGATTCATTCTTACCTGAACAGACAATTTCATACGCAAGAAAAACTTCTTCTTAATTATCAAAATCGCCTATGGCCAATCAAAATACAAACGGATACATTTTATCTAAACATTCCGGTCTGGGTTTTACGTGTCAATGTACTTTCAATCATAATTCTGAAGAACACTTATTAGTATTCTTCATATTTTGCTGTATTAATGGCAAGTATTACTGTTTTTCTTATCTTTATTATTACTTAAACTGTTTTCTATTATTGAAATCGGTGACATTATTGTTTATATTTTTCTATAAATTGCAAAATATGCGAAGGCATAAATAGATCTTCGTGAAACATAAGTAAGCACATCTATATCCTTTATACAACATATGGATATGGTCAATTCATTAAATTTTTTATATTAATTGTTATTTGTTATACTATCAATTCATGTATTAATTATTCTGATCCAAGTTTTTTTTTATCTTATTGAACAATAATGACATTAAAAATTATTAAATGACACGATTACAAGAAGAAGTTATTATTATAAAAAAAAATGAACTATTAAAATAAACATTTCGCTTATCGTGTAATTCTTTTTATACTGTTTTGTGTTTTTACTTGCGTGTGTCACATGCGGAATATTATTTGCTTGTGCTCTGTATTTGTCAATTTTTTCCCTCTGTCTGTTATTCACTCATTCATCACACACAGTGTCACATTTCGTTTGGTTTTCTTTTTGTTTTGGCTTTTTTTATTCATTTTTAGTTGAGTTGATTAGATTAAGAGAGAAAGAGAAAGTGAATAATAATATAATAAAACTCGAAACACTTGCAAAATACAAAAGAATTTATATGCTTATTCAATATATATATATGTATATCTTTCTATACTTAGACATTGGATCAATTTTCATCCTCTGCATCTATTTATCATCGATGAGCAATTATCGGATTCGTATGGATCGAATATCTCTTTTTAATCCTCTTTTTTTTTTCAATGTATTACGTCAACGTTATCCTAGAGTTGTACGCTCATAACACATACATATTCGTGATAACGCACGTTAGATGCATATTCGATGTTATTCATAATTTAAAAGCAAGAATTTGCTCTTTTCTTTTATTATGAAATTATATGCAAATTCAATATAATGTTCTATAAAAAAAAACGAAGTGAACACACACACTTGTTACTTTGATAAATCACACGTTATACCACAAAGGTGAAAAAAGTTAATGAATAAATACAAGAGGATTTATCACATGTGTTCGATGAATTACATTTCGTTATTGAATTGCATAAATAAATATTTGTCTTCATAATAATAAAAAAAAAACTATAACATTTTTTAAATGGGTTATTTATAATAGAGAGAGAGAGAAAAGAAAATGCATATCAGAATTTCTCATAAACGAACATTCTTTATATAACTATTAGTAAAAAAAACCTCAACTATATCTCGAATTTTTTTCTTTACTTCGGCCTTTATTTGTCCATACTATATGATGATACATCTGGCTCTTGATTATGACGTATGTAACGCTTATGCATATGTCAACAACCATTGACTTTAGTTTAGCGAGGTCGATGTGTCTATAGTTCTTATTGATGATGATGATGGCGACGACAACAACAACTAGTAAAGTAATCGACAACCAACATTCTTGATAGATGATTGCTATGGATAAGCATAAGTATGATTGCCAACGAGCGAGGTCTATGTTGAAAGCTTCATTGCTCTTCCGAGTTTCATATGTTCTATTTTTACATATATCTGCGTCGTTTTGTTCCTCGTTTGTATGATTACAGCATCGAAGAAAACAATAACTGCATTGTAGGAAAGAAAGAAAATGCATGCGTGATATAACCATTTCTTTTCTTGTACTAAGACATTTTTTAGTGTAACACATAGGAGAAAAAAGCAAGGATATAGGTAGAAGAGAATTCATCGTATTCATTCACACATCTATCCTATGAATGATTTGTATTCTTGAATTTTTTTTTTCTTCAATACAATGATCATTATTGAAATACTAATAGAAATCCTTCATGTCAAATTAAATTAAAGTTTCCATTTTATTCGACAATTATTATTACGTATATGTATATTTATCGCAAAGACAACGATAATAGAAATATATTTTAATTTTAACATTCAAATTGGCACTAGACTGCTGAATATCAAGGTAAGTAAATGGTATATATATACACATATATATTCTTCTATTGCTACTACCATTGCATTGAATTCACATGTGGTTTCAGTATATAAACGAAAAAAAAGAGAAGCAATGGATGCCAAACGTTAAGTTGAAAGAGAACGAACTATAACATACGTAAAATTTTGAGGAGAGAAGAGAATAGAATAGAATTGTCGGATCAATTTATTTCGACAGTATTGAAGTGAAGGTTTCTCACGCCCACTGGATGTGCTTATCAAATGGTTGATTTTTTTTTCTTTTCATAGAAAGGTATTTTCTTAATTTGTCATAAATAGAAAAAGAAAAGTTTTATATAAGTATGATCTATTGAATATAATTATTCTTGTGCACGAATTCACTTTTTTTTGTCTCTAATATTACATCATTTATTATCAATGGATTTGTTACTGGTTGTACCATTTAGTCGATTCAGTATCCAACTGAGGCAAATGAGCCAATCCGGATTTCTATTACATCGTAGCTTGATAATGGAAAATACCGAGATAAAGAATATATTAAAGAACAAGAAGGAAAGAATAAACGATAGTTCTTATGTTCATCGGATCCTTCTCGTTGTCTTTACTATACATATATAGATGATATATATATATATATATATATATTTCTTTTGATTGTCTGTCTATACATATAATGATGCTCTTTTCCTACAAGTCGACAACGAAAAAGAATGACAATCTGTAATAATACTCCCGTCATCTTTTTCGTCGTCATTTATCCTTCCTTTTCGTCGTCGTAGTCGTCGTCTTTCGTTTCTCGCATATAAACGCACGCACATACTTAAGTGTAACAGAATGAAAAGAGCCTGTTATATGGTTTTAAGTTCATAAAACGAGCAAAGAAAGATATGAGGTGATTGATTTCGTTTCATTACCTGTCTTCTTTGCTGTATACGTTTTTTTTCCTCATCATACACTTTCACATTCTGTATATATAAATGTTTGTCGGAAAATGGTGATGTATGATACAGTGATACCTTCAACAAATTCAACAAAAATTTTTTATCTTGTACGAGAAGAAACAATATATACATATGACAGAGATGACAATAACAATACTGATAATGTATCATCAAGAGGTAGGTTTAATTTTATATAATTAAACAAAGAAAGAAAGGGATTTGTTTGTGTTTTTTTTCTAATTTCAAGACAAAAAAAGAAATTAATATCAAGGTATAAATTATAGTCTAATCCTTTTTGAGTAGACATAGTCACTTGAGAATGGGATCACTACATATATATGTCTAAACAATTATTGTTAGAGAAGGAAGACAAGTGTTTCATGAGCTAAGTGAATGTTCTTATGTTGACTGTCTTGTCTTTCTTGTGCTCTATGCCTGTCTAATCCTTGCCTCTCTTTTTCAGTAATCCTCGATTTACATTAGTCATATGATCGTCATCATCATCTCCCGACAGCCACAAAAAGTATGCTGCTGCTGTGCAGATAGCATCCGTCACATCATTTAATATGATTGCGAGTGATCACCTTGCCATCATATGCACGTATTGTATATGGTATAGAAGTGTTCGTGTTCTCTTCTCTTTCTTGTTCTCTTATATATTTTTTTCTGCTGTTGTTGTTTTTATTATGGTAATAGTGCTGAGTGCAAGACGATGCTGCTTCATCTTCTTCTATTTTTTCTACATACATCTTGTATTCAGGCTAGATATGTATGTATGGCAAGAGGAAGAGATAGAACAAAAGAAAGAAAGAAAAGATATGGAATTGTACAATGACAGGAACAAATCCCTTCTGTTTTCTTTACTATGCGAATCGACGCATATTCGTCTTCCGCATCTTTTACATCTTTCTCTTATAGTGTAACCAAAGATAAATGTTTATTTTGTGCGTTGAAGCTCAGTAAGAAAAGAAGTGCAACAAGTCATCTTATTCCTTAAACAGAATATTACTTAAACACTAACACTATATCATGAGTCAATAGTCTAATAGTCGACAAACCTCACATATATATATATATCTATATTTTTGTTTTACATTCATTTATCCTCTAGAAAAAACACTGATAGGTAAAATAACAAAAGAAATAATTTTTATATAAAAAAAAATATTATTATTCTTTTTGTTTTTCTCTTTCGTCTTTTAGACACGCCCGAGATTATGAATATTAATCAATCATTATCTTCTTCTTTATCTCGATCACTAAATGATCCTATACATGAACAACATATTGTAAAAGAAGAATCACATTTAGAACGTAATGTACCGGAAAGTTATCATCATTCATCTTATGAATATATATCTTCGAGTGTTGGCGAAGGAAATATTAATCAATTGTCACCGTCAACGAATCTTTCCTCTCATCAACGAACATCATCTCCATCACAGAAATATCCTAATAAATATGTCACATCATCATCTTATAGTCCAACATCTTATCGATATCCACCAGCATCGATCATCGATGAAGCAACACATACGACTTATTCAAACAATCGATCAATACAGCAACAACAACAACAACAATTATTAACAAGTCCACATTCAACTTATGTTCCTCAACATAATAATAACAATAATAATAGCACGAATCGTCATTCATTACATCCAACAACATCAGATGATTCAGGAAATGAGTCATCTGTAAATTATCAACAACAATTAGCAAATAA